AGACCCTGATCATGGTTTAAAGAAAATGCCCAAACCGGAAGATGCCTGCTTACAGCGTTATGTTGACCGTCTGGTCCGCACAAAAAGTGACAGAACCCTGCTTATGAAAAAGACTTTTTGTAAGAAATCTAATAGGATTAAGTTAGAGAATGGTGAGGGGACAGCCTTAGAAAGCCTGAATCCTCAGAAAAATATATTTTTTTATGATTTTGAATACACGCAGGAGACTGGGTTGCACACTCCCAATTACATTTTTGCTATGTCCCTAAAGCCGGAAAAGTCCTGGGAATTTAAGGGCGATGAGTGTCTTTCTATGGTTGTTAAGACCTTTATTGGCAAAGAGTTCCAGGACTACACATTCCTAGCGCACAATTCCAAAGGTTACAATGTGTACTTCATCGTTAGACAGTTCCTGAAGGAAAAGCTGTGCCTAGAATTGATCACTCAGGATAGTAAACTAATGTATGTGGAAGTTAAGGTCCTGGGCATTCGTTTTATAGACTCTTTAAACTTCTTGCCCATGAAGCTTAGCAAGCTCCCACAGGCGATGGGGTTTGAAGGGTTCAAAGGGTATTTTCCACATTTTTTTAACACTTGAGAAAAATCAAAATTACATAGGGCCTATGCCCGGCGTGGAGCACTGTGGTGTAGAAAGCATGATGCCCAGGGAAAAAGCAGAGTTTCTCGACTGGTATCGGGACCATAGGTATGAGATGTTTGACTTGCAGAAAGAGCTCGCGTATTACTGTCAGCAGATGTCAAAGTTTTGAGACAGGCTTGTATCCTATACAGAAAAGAGATTATGAAAATGACAGAGAAGGGAGATATAGTAGAGAGAGGACCTGGTAAATTCACTGAGATAAAACTGTATAGACAAACGATATCCGCCTATATTACAAACCTAACCCCAGGGAAGAAATTCACTATTATGATTTTACCAGCTTGTACCCTTTCATAACTAAAACCCAAGAATACCCTATCGGACACCCCAATATACTTTATGACAAATTTGGACCCCTTGCAAATTATTTTGGAATTGCAAAAGTCAAAATGTACCCCCCACGAGGCTTCTTTTCCCCATTGTTACCTGTCAGAGTGGGTAACAAGCTTATGTTCCCGCTATGACAAACCTGTGCTGAAACCGAGCAGCGGGAGACGTGCATCCATACTGACGAGGAGAGGGCCATCCTGGGGACTTGGTGCACGGTGGAATTGAATGCGGCCATAGCGAAGGGGTACACAGTGGCTAAAATATATGAAATCTGGCATTTTAATGAAAAATCTGATGAACTGTTTTCAGAGTACATAAAATTACACCTCCACCAGAAACAAGAGGCTTCAGGGTATCCCAGCTGGTATACCCTGGTATACACAGACAAAGAAAAACAAAATCAGTACATTAACGATTTCTACCAGAAAGAAGGCGTGCATTTACGCCAACACGAGATCAGGTTTAACCCCGCTAAACACCAAATCGCTAAACTGTTTTTAAATTCTCTGTGGGGTAAATTCGGCCAAAGAACAAACCTACCCAATAGCAGCATCGTGAGAGACCCTGACGAACTCTTTCAGTACCTGTTCCCCCCCCCCCCACTACGAGGTTTCAGCCTGTGAGTTTATCGACGATGAAACAGCGTGCGTGTCTTGGAAGCTTGCAAAAGACTAGTACTCAGTCTCTGGAAATACCAATGTTTTCATAGCCTGTTTCACCACTGGTTACGCCCGCTTAGAACTATACAACCTGCTAGACAGGTTGCAAGAGCGGTGCCTGTACCACGACACTGACTCGGTGAGATCTGTGAAAAGGGAGGGTGACTGGAATCCCCTCTGGGGGATTATTTAGGGGACCTCACGAGCAAGATCCCGCCAGATCAACACATCACCCAGTTTCTGTTGGCAGGCCCGAAAACATACGGGTATAAGCTGTAGAGAGGAAAGGCCTGTATGAAAGTCAAAGGTATTACCCTAAACGTAGCAAACTGTGAAAAGATCAACTTTGACAGTCTGAAAGATCTAGTCCTGGACTATTGCACGGGCCTGTGAGAAAACACCTCAAAAAAGATAGAGATGCAGCAGCCCTCTATCGTAAGAAACAAAAATCAATGGCAAAATAGAGACAAAAACCCTTAATAAAACACAGAAAGTCGTTTACAACAAGAGGGTCCTAGGAGAAGGGTTTAAAACCCTGCCCCATGGCTTTTAAAATGGATACAAGGTGGAAACACCCCTTTTCTGCAATTCGTGCGGGGCCTAGCAACTGTGGGAAAAGTTACTTTATAAAAAATGTGTTGGATAATGCCAAACAAACATTGTCTGTTATGCCTGAGAATATTGGATAACATGGCTATCAAAATCATTGCAAGATACGCATGTCTGGGCTTGTTGAAACATGTTTTGAGCAAGGCTAGGCATGCCCAAGAATTTAAATTTAGTTTTTACAAAATTCATCACCATCCGGTCGTTTTGCACTAAAGTCATTAGAACAGAATTTTAAAATCCAGTCAAAAGATAAACCCTTGCTATGATGATGTAAGAAAAACACGCAGTGATAGCCGCAGGCGACAGAGCAGGGGTCTTGTAATTGTCTATTGTGAAACACAATGTCTGTGGCATTTTTGTTTAAAAATTTCATAATGCTTTTTGGAAACAACACGCTGTTTGGGGGGTGCCCGTATGAGTCAAAAAACTCTCCATGGTTACGCTCTGCCAGATACAAGGCGAGCCAGTGTTCACCAAGTTGGTTGTGTGGATGCGTGTTGACCACCAAAGCTAGGGGTCTCTGAGATAGCTTGCTGCCAGGGAGCCAATCACAAGGGAACACATCTAAGAAATTCTTTTTCGTGTAATGGGCCATTGATAAGACATGTGAGAGCTGCACGGTGTCCATGTTCACATATAGTCAAACAGAACGTTTCTCCTCTGATTTATCTCTATGACGTTGTCAAAAACCCCATACACGATCATATTGACGGTGACGGTTAAAGCCTTCCCAAAACGTATTTCTGTTCTCAGGTTCCCGGTTTTAATCAGGGAATAGTGATCGGCGCATTGCTGGTCGGGAGACGGGTCAAAGGCAAACAAGGTGTAACCCTGTGCAAACTCCTCACGGTCGATTAACAGAGAACGATCTTTCGTGTGTTTACCAGCTGTACCACATTCATGTATTCTCTCACGCAGCGTCCTGCCTCGAAGTCTGGTTGCAGAGGCTTGGTTGATATCTGTTCACCATCTACATACAAGGCCAAAAAATTAATATCATAATGTTGAAAATGAAAGGGATTTTTTGTGTAACTTCTGCTAAAGACATCATTATCCACAAACCCCAGAATAAGCATTTTGGGTAACTGTTCCAAAAACAGGTTCTCTGGGTTACTGACCCTACTGCTCGCGGGGATGCTAAACACTTTCATTCTCACACGGTCCATGGGATATTTAGCATTAGCGGTAAGCAGGGCCTCCGTGTGCCCCAGATGAACACTCGGGGCCACCCGTACTTTCTTCACAAAAAGGGATGCTGACACAATGCCATTAAACAGAAGGCGTCTTTACTGCGTGTCAGTTTAATTTTCACATCCACTCCGTTCAAGAAAAGTTTTTCTTGAAAAAACAGGTCGCTGTGTAGATGATCCAGCAGCTCTACCGTCCTGCTCTGGGCAGTCAGCTTTGCATGCCTCACAAACCCTAGATTCACGCCATCCAACTCTGTTTCTTCGTCTTGTCTGGCTGTGTCTTTGTAAAACAGGCCAGTGGAAAATTGCGTGGTAAAGGTGTCGTCGCTGTAATTGAGCGCCGATTCTATAAAGGCCCTGTAAGGGTAACAGTTGTTGCTTTGGCTTACAAGGCGGTCTCCCAGCGTGACATCCAACTGACTGAAAACAGAGGCCTCGGGGTAATTCACCAGGCCCACTTCGGCGTCCATGGCGAGTTCAGTTCCGTCTCCTTTTACAATCTTGCAACATAGATACAGCAGTGTGTTGTTTAAATCCATATAATCGATGCCATTCCCTGTTATAAAAACATCAATGGGGGCAGACTCCGTAACAGCCGATAGAGGCGGCACCTCAATGTAGATGCTTTTCTCAATGCTGGTCTGGGTAGGGGCTATTTGAAACAAGTCTAGTTCGGATTTGGTGCACTCTTCGGACCCGCAGTGAACAAAAGCCATGTTGATTAAAATATCTCTCTTTTACCAGGCAGAGAGCGTCTTCTCTTTCGCCCAGGCTTCCTCTTAGACTTTCGCTTATGGCTGGCCCTGCGCATCAAAGCCCTTCTTTTAAAGGGTATTGGGGGACCAGTGCGTTGCAGGTATGATACATTTCTCTTTCGCTTCCTCCTTTTAATGTACATCAGCCCCGATCCTTCCTGTGAAGCTGTATTCGAGTCGGTTTGTGTAAATTGTAAGCATCCTGGTCTGAAAGCCAAGCTGTTACCTGTCTTCTAGTTAAAGTTTTACTATGCTTTTTGGCCACTTGAAAAAGAGGATTCATCGCGCCAAAGCTCCCAACTTCCCTGGGGGTATAATATATTTTCTTTAACAGAGTCATCTGTGGAGACATGACTGTTCCCGGTACCATCTTTTACTAACACAAGTATGGAGGGGGACACATTCATATGGACACATTTAAATAAGTTTTATTCATTGCCTGGTTTAACACAACCTTTTACAGCCGCCTGTAAAAATGGATGCCATGACCCCTACAATGAGGGAGTCTGATCTGGTTCATTCTTCTATTTTGTCCTTTTCTGGATTTTCCTCTTGAGATCTGTGTCTCAGACAGCAGCAAAAACAGCTGATGCATGATATATTTACTCCCACAGGGCTACCGATGTGTAAGTTCTCAAAGGCCTCTAGAAAGATATCGACGAGCTGTTGAGAGATTTTCAGACAAAAAACAGTGTAAGCACCCCACTGCTTGTTTTTAGATTTATGCAATGCCAGGTCGATTCCTAACCCCATTACACCCCCATGATCAACTGTCGCTTCTTAATCATTCATTTACCTGAGCAACGTCTTTCCTGTTCACCTTGTCCGCTGGTGACTCCCCCAAGCCATGATCCTCTTCCAACTTTAGGGGGGTGGACAATGAGAGGCCGTCACACTCATTGGTTTGGGTTTCGGGGTCGGGTTCCAAGGTATCTATCAACGGTGGAGTCAAAGGGCCCTCCTTGGAACTGTCACTGCTGTAGCACTTTCTCCATACAAGTCCAAAGGTCCTCGGGGCTAAACCAAAGTCTGAAGTTCTCACGGGGGTGGTAGAGGAGTCCATGTTTCCTCTCAGCCTTTCCACAATTTCTAAAACATGTCTTCTTGGTAAGAGATTGCCTCCTCTGCCCGGTACTGGGACTTATGGGGTGATGGTTCTGTACTCTGATTGGCAGAGGGCGTTGGGAGAAGTCCTTAGAGGGGTCACATGACCCTCTTCTGGGCGGTTCACCCCATCCAAGAACCTGGCCTGTTTTGGCCAAATCTCCTCTTGGGGCGGTCCTCTGCAGCCAAAACCCATCGCAATTGGTAAAGAGTGGTGGGAGGAGTTCTTAGAGGGGTCACACGAAACACTTCTGGATGGGTCACCCCACCCCAGAATTCCCCCCAGTTGGTCAAATCTCTTCTCGGGGTGGTCCCCAGTGGCTGAAACCCCTCCTGATTGGTAGAGGGCAGTGGGAGGAGTTCTTAGAGGGGCCACATGACACATCTTGCTTCTGGTTATGTGTCCACTTTGACCCCGGAAGTAATACCCCATGGGTGTGGGACTTCTGGTGACCGGTGAGCAAGGGGTGGGGTTAACGTTTGATTGACAGTAGGGCCCTTATAGTACTGGAGCGCCTTCTTCTGTTTATCTCCGGTCCGCTTCATTCCCCAATCACTTGGCCAGAACAGATGTCACTTACGATCTCAGTTGCCACCAGCTGGACAGTGGGACTTGGGTCTTTCTGTAGGACCTGGAGAGCTGAAATTACAGAGGACAACACGTTAGTGAACAGACTGTCAAATCACAGCTAAGTGTGATCACACAACCTTGAACTACCTGAGCAGAATGATCACATGGAAAAATGTGAGACTGGGCTCAGTCCTTCTATTGGGATGGAAAATACATGAGAGATGAATATGCCTCACTTTTCATATAGTCACCTGTGCCTGAAATAGCTGGAGACTTATTACCTCTGAATACCATACTACAGCAGCTCTCCAATACAAACAAAGCTTTAGGTTCCTCTACTGGGTCCCTTCCATGCTCTCAACTAGGGGGAGACCCTGACTCTACCAGAAAGTCATCCACTCTGCTGTAAATGGAAGAAGGCCCATTGTTTCAATAGCTTCCACTTTTAAGTTTATTTTCCATCTCTATTCAGGAGACACTGCCTGAGCTCAAATAAACCTGGAATTTAACAGAGGCCAGGTCCAAGCTGGTTTATGCATGATACAGGGCACCTACTGGAAGAAAAATTGCTGGTGGGAAATTTGAGGTAGCAGAAAGTGGCTACAACTTCTTCTCACCTGGGGAGTCCACAGAGAGCCAATAAAGCCCAAAGAGTGGATAGCACTGGCTGTGGAGGGGGCATTGCCAGGACAACCAGGAGATGTACTGACTCATATCACACCTTCTGCAGCTTCCTCCTTTAGGGAAAATTAAAGCGAACTTTCTACTGGGCAAGAGTGAATTTGTCCTTTGCTGTGTGGCTGATGCACTTTGCACCAGTGGTATCAGTTACTGCTGCTTGTCAGCTAAATTCCTTTAGAACTCACTAATGAGCAGGACTTCAGCTGTATTTATTACTTACACATCAGCAGATATTCCAGGTCCAGCCATTTCATATGCTGCCTGTCTGTGTGTTCCACGATGATGCCTAAATACACAATGTAAAATAAATAACAACAATAATAATAAAACCTTCCCTTGTTGAGTACAAAGTGATATTAGCAGCCCCTAGACAGGTCTTTGGCGTCTCCTACTGTGGGCCTAAGGGTGAGCGGTGGGGCAAGAGGATGCTAGAGCAGTTTAGAGTCCACACTGAAGAGAATGAGAGAGACATTTTTTAAAAAGAATGTTTCCATAAAACGCATTTGCTTGAAACAGTCTGTGTTCCTCTTGCCACTGCTGTCAGTTATTGGAGACATACTAAGATAGTGTCTTGGTCTAGTGGTCTGTGCAAAGGACTGGGGCCAGGAATAAGTGAGTTCTAAGCAGGGATCTCACAAGGTGACTGATAGGTGAGATGTAGGCCACAATGCCTGCCTGTCTCACATGGGTGTGCTAGGGTGAAGAGGGCACAGGGCCAAAGAGGAGGAACCTAATGCTTCCTTGACAAGGTGGTATGGCCAGGAACCTGAAACAGCAGGTGCTATGGGGAGGTGGGCTGCATGCCTCCCAGTGATGAAGTAGCAGTGAGGAGCACTGAACAACACTGTGGGTAGGTCTGCACTTTGATCTAGGGGTATCTCTCCCAGTTCAATGGGACATGCCCACACTGGCTCTGACAGCGATAGCATGCTAACATTAGAATGTAGCTAAGGCAGCACGAGCAGTGGGAGGAGCTAGCCACCTTGAGAATAGACTTTGGGGTTTGGATGGGATCATACTTGGGGTGGTTAAACCTCCTGCTGCTCCTGCCATCGCAACTACTCTCTATTTTTAGCACGCAGGACTAGTGCGGGTACGTCTCATCAAGCTGGGAATTATACACCCAGCTCAAAGTGTAACCATGCCCTACGTGACAATGTCCCTGCCTCTACTACTAAATGACTGCACCGCGCTTTCCCTGCAATGATTCCGAAGCACTTGATAGCAACTAATCCACCACACTGGAGAGGTAGGGATATTAACATCTCCATCTATGGATGGGAAGCTGAGGCACAGAGAGATTAATGGCAGCTCAGCGCTGCACAGTGGGAATGTTTCTGTCTCTCCCAATGGAAATACCAAAAGGGACACTGGGCATCATCTCTCACCAGCTAAGTTGGCTGCAACTGCCCGGATCTCTTCCCAGCTGCTATAGAAGTACATGATGGTGATTTGGTACAATTTCTCCAGCAGCTCTGCATTCTCTTTGGCCTAGAGGGAATCAGGGACACATGAGCTCTCTCTGGCTAGAAGTGCCCTTTGACTGCCAGCACATGCTTTTACGAACCACAGGTAAATAAGATAGAGAACAGGTGGCTGGGTAGAAGTGGGAACAATGGGAATCTGTGGCAGATTTACATTTCCCATCACCCTCAGTCATATATCCCACTCTTACAGTTATTTACATTATCCATCACACATCCCCCCCCACACACCTCTACACCACCACTCCAGTCAATAATCTCAGACAGTTCAACAGCTCACTCACAAGGTATCTGCAAATGTCCACCTGGAGCTGTTCAGGCTTCAGCTCGGCTGTGCCACCAAGGTGCTCATTAATTGCACCTTGGAGTCTCTTCAGTCCCAAAAACGGGAAACAGAGGTGAAACGTAGCTCTGCATTCCTGAAAAAGAGTGTCACACCATTGAATTGTTCCCTACCGAGTGCTATGTTCATTCAAAGGGAACTCATCTGCGTGACTGCTCATCTATTCCAGGATCAAAAAAAGGGATTCATCTGGATGTAATTGGCAGAAAACATGCAGGAATGACTAATAGACGGGAGAGCTTCAACTGAAACCTGGAGGTAGCATCAATGTCTTTTGGGAACAGATATACCGATGAAAGCTGCTGCACCAGGCATAGCTGTGGTCTCTCTGTTCTGGGGAGGCAGGGCCCTGGGGTGCAGAGACAGACAGGAACAGAGACCTGTCGGGGTCAGACCCATGACCTCTCCTGGATTCTGGTGAGGCAGCCATGGACCAACCTGGCTGGAACTGACTCAGCAGGAGGGCAATGAACTGAGGGGAGAATTTGGGCCTCCACAGCAGGCAGGAATAGCAGAGCTCCCCTGGCATTGGGAGGAAGATTCCTTTTGCTTAGTAAATAAGTCACTGTCGGTCTTACCATTGAAACCTCAGGGTTTGGGTCTTGCAGGTGCAGCAGAAGTGTGACCCAGCTCTTTTTAACCTGGTCGGCAAAATAGGTCTTCCATTTTCTCTTTGTCAGCCGGGCCAGGATGCCAAATAGGACAAAGGCCATTGAGCGAAGAGCATCATCCTCCTACAGCCAAGAAAGCCCCGCAAGTTAGTAACTAAGAGACAATCACATCATGCACTTTGCACAGCCATCTCTTCTACGCTAAAGTAGAGTGATTCCAACTACAGCTAGTCGGAAAAACGGTAATTAACCAATTTTTTGTTCGAATTTGCTGATTCATCAAAATATTTTAGAGACAGTTCAGTTTTGATGAAATTCCTCTGGAAGCCAGGTAGGGGTCCTTAGAAACTTGCCTGGTGTCTTTCCAGTGCACCCATCCAGCTCTGTAGCAGCCAATTTAGCAGGCTGATTGGGATCGTGGACTTCCAGGCCCCCAGCTTCTGGGACCCTGGGAGTCCTGGCTCTCAAATTTGCAACTCCCTGGCACCTCTAGCTCCCAGTTTCCTGGGTTCCCAGCACCGGGATAGTCTGAGAGCAGACTGCCCTGGGCCAACTCTTCCAATAGAGCTAGGTTGAGAATAGTAATTCTGTTTCACAAAGAGTTTTGAACTTTGGGGAGAGGGGTTCCCACAAATAGGAACAAAACCCAAATTTGAAATCTCTAAATTCTGTGCAAAACAGAATGATCATTCCAACCCTCTCACATAAAAATGGTATAGAACAGGCCCAACACTCTCTATTGTACTCTGTAACCCCCATTTCATGGTTATCTAGCTACCTAATCTAGTATTCAGACTTTCTTTGAGGTTCTCAGTGGCAATAAAGAAGAATAGAAGGGTGAGACTGTGGGAGCAGGGATGTCATCCCCATCCTCCTAATGTTCTCCTCCTCCGTAAAACACCTCTCTTCCCTGGGCCTAAAATCTCTTCACTCCGACATGAGCAATGCCCAGGGAGTCCACATCACGCATTGTAAATGGAGTCTAATCAAGATCGGTTGAACTGGGATTGGAGAGATCTGTTTACATACATCGTCAAAGTAAGTCCGGATCTGTTGGGTGAGGTCTTTGAAGGAGGAACCTATGTCCTTCTCTTTCAGCTCCTTCAGGACTTTGGCCAGTGCTTTCATGCTCTCGCCAATGACTTCCGAACTGAAAATGTCATGTAAGGCCCCGATCAGTATGTCCAGAAGAAACTTCTTGTACTTTTTCACCTGTACAAACATATGACATTAAAGAACACTTATCACTGATCACACTTCTAATAAGTTTTCTTTAGCAGTTATGAAGCTGTGGGAATTTCATCAACCCCGTCTCCCCCCCCCCAGAGACCTATAGCTATATTTCAGACCAGGTGCTAGCTACAATGAGCCCAACTTGGTGCCATAATACACCTGTGTAATCCTATTATTAGATTCCTAGTTACTTAGATTCCAAGGCCAAAAGGGACCATTGTGATTATCCGGTCTGACCTCCTGCATAACATACAACTTCCCCGAAATAGTCTCTGTTTGAACTAGAGTGTATCTTTTAGAAAAACATCCAATCTTGATTTTAAAATTGCTAGTGACAGAGAATCCACCACCACCTTTGGTAAATTGTTCCAATGGTTAATTAAAATTACCATTAAAAATGTATGCCTTATTTCCAGTCTGAATCAGCCTAGCTTCATTTTTCCCCATTGAATCTTGTTGTACCTTTGTTTGCTAATGTGAAGAACCCATTATCAAAATTTATTCCCCATGTGAGTAGTTATAGACTGTCCTCAAGTCACTCCTTAACCTTCTCTTTGTAAAGCTAAATAGACTGAGCTCCTTGAGTCTATCACTAAAGGTATATTTTCCAGTCCTTTCATAATTCTTGCGACTCTTCTCTGAATCCTCTCTAATTTATCAGCATCCTTCTTGAATTGTGGATACCTGATCTGGACACAGTATTCCAGCAGTGCTCACATGAGTGCCATATTCAGAGGGAAAATAACTTCTTTACTCTTCTTCAAGATTCCTCTGTTTATACCTCCAAGGATCATTTCAGCCCTTTTGGCCACAACTTTGTATTGGGAGCTTATGTTCAACTGATTATCTGCCATGACTCAAGTTTTTTTCAGCATCATTGCTTCGTGGGATAGAGTCTCTCATCCTGTAAGTATGGCCTGCATTTTTTGTTCCCAGATGTATACATTTACATATGGTCATATTAAAGTGCACATGGTTGACTTATGCCCAGCTTACCAAAGGATCCAGCTTGCTCTAGATTTACTGCAAAGAGGTTACTAGGGTATAGGAGAGAGCAGAATTTGGCCTAGTGCATTTTGTGCAGCCTCTGTAAACTCTGAACAACTCTCTCTTGGTTTCTCTAGTTATGCTGCATTCTATTCAGTAATCTCTCTTACCTTCTCAGGTGCCCCATAGACTACATTTCCCAGGCCTCTCACAGCCATCTGGCGGACAATGCTGTTCCTATCATGTGACCTTTCTTCCAAGATGCTCAAGACAGACTTAAGGAACTTCTTCTCCCTGAGCATGGGATCACTCATTAGCTGAAATAAAATCAACATGTCCATTAGCCCCAATATGATCATTAAGATTGGCAATATAATTTGAGCAGACATGGAATACACTAAAAACAACAAGGAGTCCTCCTACAGCCACAGTCTTGTGGATACAGACTAATATGGCTACCCCTCTGATACTTGGCACATAAGACACTGTAACTTTATTATTCCACACAAATGAGAAATGTCTTAAAACATGGAGCTTTCCTTTTGGGCACTATAATAGGGATCCACTCACCTCTTGAGAGCCTCTTAGTGACTGGGTCTGGTACCACAGTCCTTTTCTCACCCCTGGCGCACCCTGCCAGCCGACCTCAGTGAGTCTTCTGTGTCTCAGGCCTCTGGCTGCATCCCAAAGTCCAAATGAACCCCTTCTGGGGTAGTCAAGAACAATCCCATTGCCCTCACTAGGGTCTCCAGCCCTAACTCTGGGTTCTTGAAATTCTGCCCTTTGTTCAAGCTCTCCATAAGCATTGTCCCCTCCGTGGGGCTTATGCCACTGTAGATGGTAGGGGAACCAGGGCCTGCCCATAACTCTGGGTTCCAAACCATGGACCCTGGAAACAGTAGCTAGGCACTGCTTGATTTCAGTTCATTTTTGCTTCTTCCTACCGGCCACTTTTAGCTTCACCCTCACCTCCGGGTTAAAGTTCTTAGGGATCCTCTTCCTGCAAATCCAGCTTAAGCAAATGCTGCCAGAATCAAACTCTGGCTATCCCCTGAATTTCTGTGGCCAGAGAGCAGCACCCTTTCTTGCCCCTCCAGGTCCTGCCAGGCCCTGCAGCTCCTTTTAGCTGAGCCTGATGGGCTCTGATTGGCTGCTTTCATGAGTCCTCTCTAGACAGACCCAGATTTGTGGCTGTTTTCCTGGGGCAGGGTGTAGTAGGACCACGGGGCCTCTTGTAAGGAGCCTCAAAACCCAGGTACAGCCCATCACAGGCACAGATCGATTGTTTTTCTTAGAACCAGATGAGCCCCTAAGATAGTTGCTTAGCATAAGTGGGAAATATGATGCCGATGTTAGAGGAAGGCTGTGGAAAGGGCGGATGGTCCAGCTGTTATCACACTAGCCCAGGACTTAGGAGACCCAGGTTCAATTTCCTGCTCCCTCAAAGACCCTGGGCAAGTCACTTAGCCCTTCTGTGCATCAGCTCCCTGCCTGTAAAATAGGAATCATTGTGCTTCCCTACCTCCCAGGAGTGTCGTGGGGATACAGACATTAAAGAGTTTTGAGGTACTCAGATACTACAGTAATGAGAACCTAAGATAGATGTGAATGTATTTGTATGTTGCTTGTTTTATAGTATTAGGACACTAGGTTCATTCAGAAGATCTGCTCAGCTAAACCAAAATCAGGAGCTGTTGGTTAGTATCAGCACTAGGACTTGGCAGAAGAGGTCCAGGAATTCAAACTCTGTCTGTATCTCTCTCAGCCAGCACCAATGGTTGTGTAGCTAGCATAGGCAATGACAGCAATAAAAATATCAGAGAGAGAATGACTCAGAAAGGTGTAATGAAATTCCTTCTGAGGTTTCCATATAAAGGAGGACCCATTCTACTATCTAAAATGACAATTACTCCTATGAACTGAACTGTACAACTCCCGAAAGAAAGGCAAACATGAGACAACAGTCTAATGGTGAAACTGCTCTTCAGGGCCCTGTGTCTTACCTGGGCAAGGAAAGCTGTGCTGGTGACTCGGAGGTTTTCTGTTGGGGAATTCACCCAGGGGAGGAGGCTCTGTAAGATCTCAGGTGTTATTAGTCCAGCTCTTAGCAGAACACTGGAAGACAAAATAAACCGCTTATGGGGTAGATTGCACACTTCAAAAACTCAGCTGCTCTGAGCATACAGCACTGATATCTAAGAATGGGAGCTGTGTGTTTCCACCCAGGGCACCCCCCACAAAGCTATAAACTGGAGGTTCCCTCTCAGCCACTCTATTTGCTACTGATTCCCAAGAATAAAATCATGCCTCCTAGATCTCTTACCTCACCAGCAGACACACTCCCTCATGGTGAGTCTTGGGGTTTTCAAGCAGACTCCGTGTTCTCTGCTCCCTGAGCGCTCTCCCCAGTCTCTCATTCCCAGCTTTGAAAAGCACAGCCTCTAATGCTTGGATAGAAAGCCTGGGGAAAGAGAGGCACAGAACTGCAGCAATCAGTAGGAAGGTGCAGCCTGAACAGAGCGAGGAAGCCCCGGTTACTTGTCAGGTCTGCTGTTCATCGACAGTTCATCCATTGGCAATATCCTGGACACCAGTGTCCCTGGAAGGACTTGATGCTGGGAGGTAAGTTTCAGTCTCATACATCTCATATGACTAGTTTTGCTAGGGACAAAATTTTGCAGTCATTTTTCCCTTTCTGCAAGGAGTATGGGCACTAGCAGAGTACAATGATATGGAAAAGATACATGATCAGGACCCAAACACTGGGGACATAGAGTGTGGTGATCACTAATGGACATTTTGGGGTCATATCTCCAGATATGATGTGACAGAGAGCTGAGGGTTTGCACTTGAATCAGCACTCTGGTCACTATTAGTACTAATTTGGTTCCTCACAGAAGGCCTAATTGGACAGAGGTGTACCTGATTACGAGGTCAGATTGGGGCTAGTGAGTCAAGGAACCAATCATTCCATTAACAGGGAAACTGTATAAAAGGACATGGGCAGGAGCTCTTTGAGGGGAACAGACAGAGAAAGAAACTTGGGTGACCAGATGTCCCGATATTTGGGGCTTTATCTTATACGGGTACCTGTTACCCCCCACCCCCTGTCCTGATTTTTCACACTTGCTGTCTGGTCACGCTAGGAGAAACAGAAAGACAAAAAGCTAGGAGAGCCTGACAAAGTGAGGTCTCTGAGTGGAAACACCGTAGCCCCCACTTTTGGAGAAGAGTTTAGAAAGTTGAGATACAATATAAAGGTGCTATGGATTGGTAGGGGGATTAAATAGACTATATGTTGGTGCTTACAAGCAAGAAAGTCTCAACGCGGTCTGTGTTTGTGGAAGATGTGGGGGGTGCAACACCCCTCTCTGTCACAGCTGGGGGCTCATCAGGGATTTCCCTGTTATCTATGCAAATGGAGAGCCTGTTGGAGAAGCCGGTGTAGAGGTTTTGGCAGTCCGGGTGATGGAGGGAACACTGAAATGGATGGTGAAGCAGCAAAGAGAAGTGTAGAACAGGGGTTCTCAACCTTTCTGTTTCTGAGCCTCCCCCCACCCTCAACATGCTACAAATACTCCATGGCCCAGTTCCAGGCCTCTGCCCTGCCAGGCATCAGAGTTTGGGGCTCCTGGCTCTGGTTTTTAACCTCATGGGGTGCAGGGGCTCGGGGCTTTAGTGCAGGTGCTGGGCCTCAGGGCTCCAGCGTGGCTGGGCTCAGAGCTTCAGCTTTCTGCCCTAAGCCCCAGCTAGTCTAATGCCAGCCCTGCTTAGCGGACTCCCTAAAACCGGCCTGGTTGAGAACTGCTGGTGTAGAAGACCCTACAGACCTTCCAACAATCCCACCATGCAGAAAAACAGCCTTTGCTTGCCTGGTAGGTTTAACAGCAAAAGAGCCTTCAGGAATTTATACAGGAGCAAGCCCAGGTCTGGCAACAACTCCTCCAAAGTTTGGCCAGTCCTGTGACAGGAAATGGAAACCAGGCACAGGAGATCAGACTCTGTAAAATGGGACCTGCAAACAACCCTGATGTGTTTTTGATTACTCTTAAAGGAGCAGCAGTGAGACCTCATAGGGACAGAACAATGTGGGGCCTTCAACTGACACCCTATTTAACCGGGGAAGCACATATATGGGTCTTAGTGATTAGCAGGCAAGAGATTATGACATGATTAAGGCAGCCATGCTGGACTAGGTGGGGCCTGTCCACAGAAAAGTACTGCCAGAAATGGAGAGTCGAAAGATGAATTGAGGGATTATGCTTCTGTGCATTTGGACAGAAATTAAAAGATTGAGCCACTCATTGGTAAGGCCAGATACTCAAACTGTGGGGGAGATCATGGACTGCATGATTCTGGAAGTTTCTTCAGAGTCTCCCTGAGCATACCCGAGCATGGGTTACGTGACGCCAGCCAGTTAATCTGGACCCCACAGTTAAAGTTACAGAGGAATTTGCAGAGGCGGATATTCCCAGAGTGAATCAGTGGTTTAAGGGACTAGATTTGAGAAGGACCAGAGTGCCTCCAGCTGGGAAGGGCAGCAAGAAGAAGAGGGAGTCGCCTCAAGGAACTGTAGTGGGAGCTTGTCCTACAGTGTGCTACCGACATAGACGTGAAGGACATCTAAAAAGAGACTGTCCTAAAATGGACTGTGGGTTTGCACAGTTTTGTGGCTGGGATAAGACTCCCAGGCAGGGAAGAAAAAAGGAAGTACCTACCATATCGGTATGGGTAGGGAGGAGCCACCAAAGGGACTAATGGACACAGCTTCATCCTGTTTGTTAATTGGGCAGGAGTTAGTGAAACCCCACTGGATACTTCCCAGAGGTAGGATCAAAACTGAATATGTACATGGGGACAATAAATTCTGCCCAATGGCAGAGGTGACTCTGGAAATCAAGGCAAAGTTTAGGCAGAAACATGTAGGGGTAGTGGATGGATTGCCCCACTGCCTTCTACTGGGCATGGACTGGCATCCCTTTCTAACAGGGACACCAAGGCATGTATGGAGGCTCAGGAGGGTGGAAACAAAACCTGAAGGGCCAGGTAAAGAGGAAATATATGTAAAGGGGCTGGTGGAACCTAGACACGAAAGTACAAGCCACAGAGAAGGTGAGGATGCAGAAGTCCCCTGAGAGACAAGAGGGAGGAGAAAGAAAACAAAGGTCAAGAGTAAAGGTGACTTAAGATCATCCATTGGGGTCAAACAGTCATCAGAGCCCTTACCACCAGGATCTCAGGAGCGGGCATCCCGAGATCACTTTGGAGGGACTCAGCACAGTCTGTGTTCATGGAAGAGGCCGGGGCACAGCATACCACCCCTCACATATAGGTACCTAAAATAGGCCTGCACATGGGCCAATAGCATGAGCAGAACACTTGTGTCTGCAGCGCCAGCAATCACATAGCTAGGTACCCATCCATGTGAACAAATTCAAGTTTTGTGGACAAAGCTTAGGCACCCATGTTTGAAAACCTGACTCACTGTGGCCACTACATAAGACCAGCCTTACTGGGTCAGTCCAATGGTCCATCTAGTCCAGTATACTGTCTTCCAACAGTGGTCAATGCCAGCT